TAAAAAAAAAAAAAAAAAAAAAAAGCATGCCCTAAAAGTAAACTCTTAGCCAGAAAAAAGCCAGAAAAAGGAAAATAGGGGGAGGGGAAGAAAGAAAGAGATCTATCAACACTTCTATTCCACAACAGTCTCAAAGCCACAGGATAAACAGGTGGCCTTTATCTGAGCAGAGGTATTTCACCTGAAGGCTTACCTTGGAAGGCTCATCCCGTAGAGCAGCTAGGCGGCCTTTCTGGGGGCGTCGCAACACTGCACTGGTGCTGAAGGAATCTGTGTGACTGTCTGCCACAGGGAACCTGAAATCTGGGACACTGCCCAAGTGGGGTCGGCTGAAACACATACAAAAAGAATAGCCACTTTCAGAAAAAGTAAACTAACATTCTGATTTCTAGTCAAGCCAGAACCTGTTTATTTGGAAAAGAAGTAACTTCACATGTGAGAAGTCTCCAAGGAAAGCCACTCTTTTGCTTGCCTCAATAGCTACCGATGCCTGCTCTGGGTTGACATTTAGTCTTTCAACCCCGCAAGACAGAAAGCTTCACTACCCAGGAAAACCAACACAGGCTGCTACAGATTGGGAGAGACCCGTGAGCCACCTCAGGACCCTCCTCCAGGTAAAGGTGTTCGGCCCTGCGTTTCTGTTCTACTTTTTCCACGGCAGACAACAAGCACACCGACACATCGCTTCCGGCCTTCACTTGCTGTTGTCTTCGCTCTTGTGCCCTAGACCTTCACAATACCCTAAAATTTGCAAAGGAAGACATGTTTGCATAGGCTCTAAGCTGTCTCTTAAATCATGTTCCAAGAAGAAGTCTGTTTCCTATAGACTAGTGTCACCAGTTAACCACTTCGGTACCTTCTGCTAAATTTTAACTCACTTGACCATTTTCTACAAAGAAACGAACAAAGGTTTTAACACCCAGTGAGGAGGGTTGCCTCTGTAACAATGAGCAGGAAAATAAGAAGGACGCCGGGGTTCACATGCTGGGCAATCTGCTGGATTCATCCACAAGCCAGTGATTCCCTCATACTACGTCAGCCAGTTCAAAGTCATAGCTCAACAGATTTTAAAATGACTACATGCCAGAAACTTTCAGTGTCAATTAAAAAATATAAAACACTCCAGCTCCTTACTGCACTAAGTCCTGGAATCTGAAAGTATTCCTCAAACTCCAGCTGTACGGTTTCCTTAGCAACCTTGTCCTGTGGACGTGACCACTGCACCCACGAATGCCAGTCCTCTACCTCTTGGGTTCTGTCCTCCTGTCCCTGCGTCATCAGTGTTATACTCCATTGAGCACCTAAATCAATATATCCAAATATTAACTGAGCAATCCCCACCTTCCAAACCTTCCTGTGTTTCTGAGTTTTGTCAACTAGTAGGCATGAGTCTCCTAGGTACCAAACTCTAACCTTTGCAATGACATTTTACTCTACCCTCTTGCCTGCTATTAAGCCACAGGCCCCTTAAGCTCGGACCTCCAGTTATACTGCCCACATAGCCAAGGACAGGCCTTTGTATACACACAACAGATGCTAAAAACATACTTATTAATTTGTTAATATCATACCCATGATGAAGTGAAGCACCTCTTAGTCTCATTTGGTCTAGTTCAGCCCTCAATGCTTCAATGTTTAAGACGAGCTGATCCTACAAAATAGCAAACCACTTACATTGCAGCTCTCTCTTTTAGGTTTTAAGGTTATTTGCATCAAATATGCCCAGATGTTGAACATTACCGTAACAGGATAAAGTAGCAGTTATAAGTACCAAACATTTTAATTCTGTGAAAACTTTCTCCAAGAGTAATACAGTAAACATAAAAGCTCAGAACGCCAAATTAGCGTTTTATTCATTAGGGTTTACAAAGTTATGTCTTAGTCATAGGGAAAAAAAAAAGTTTTTTTTCTGAAGGCTGGCTGGTACTGGGATCTGAATCCTTGACCTTGGTGTTATCAGCACCACACTCTAACCAACTGAGCTAACTGGCCAGCCTGTGAAAACTTTAAAGGATAAACACCAGCCATTAACAACTATTAGTTTTGTAGAGAGAAGCAAAACTCTTTTGGGGACGAAAGGGAACAATATTCACTCTCTACCGTATATACTTCTCTGTACTATTTTTAATCGTCTTATATCAAGCATGCATTCATTCCTGTATCATGTGCAACCTGGTCTCATTTCTAAATCTGTGCCACTGGCTAGCTACTCGTGACTACTGAGCCCTTAAAATGGGCTAGTCCAAACTGAGATGTGCTGTAATTATGAAACATACAGTGGATTTCAAAGACTTAACATAAAAAAAGAATGCAAAGTAGCTCATTAGTGATTGATACTAATATATTATAAAATGACTAACATTTTGGATATACTAGGTTAAATAAAATTAATTTTGCCTATTTCTTTCTACTTTATAAAATATGGCTAGTAGAAAACTAGAAGTCACATATGCAGCTCATACGAGGGTGCTTCATAAAGTTCATGGAAAAATAGAACTAAAAGATGATACAAATCTTTCCATGGACTTTTTGAAGTGCCCTCATATTTCTGTTGGACAGCAGTATTCTTGATGAAAGGTTTAGGCGAGTACTTTAGCACCAAATAAACCCAGAGAGGACTTAGAGTTCTGAAACATGCACATTGCCAAACTCAAAATGTATCAAAAACACAAAGGCACTCAAACATGCACATCTAGGAGTGCTGTAAGTCTTATGGCAGGGACCATGAGAGCCATAAAAACTGATCAATTTAACTTCCACCAAATGCCGTAGGGACTATAACTACAATAAACTCAGTTCAGTTCAGCTCTTAACAAATATCTAAATAAATTAGAGATGACTCAAGTACCTTATCATGTTGCGTATCTTCCAATTGCTTTTTTGCATTTTCAACTTCTCGTAACAGAGAATTCTGAAAAAGATTAGATAGTCTTTTAGTGTTAATTCTTTAAAATGTTCATGTAAGAGAGTATGGCTACATTTGTTTAAAAAATAAAATCCCACAGAAAAGGCACGGATCAGAGGAATGCACTAATGAGCACTGCCGCAGTCCCACAGGGTAAACGCTGACCACATGGCTATAACTTCGCACAATTGCTCTTATTCATATGAAATTTACTTCTTTCCTGACTGAATTTTCTTTCTTTTTTTTTTTTTTTGTCTTTTTTACTGACTGGTAACGGGATCGCAACCCTCGGTGTCGCGCCCATACCGGGGACCGGCAACGGGATCGCAACCCTTGGTGTTGCGCCCGAACCGCGCTCAGCCAGTGAGCGGGAACCGGTCTCCACATGGGATCCGAACCCTTGGCGGGAGCGCCGCCGCACTCCCAAGCGGCGCACTATCCAGTGCACCACCGGGCTGGCCCACTGACTGAATTTTCTAAACGCAGAAATGTTGAGTTTGTGGTCAAGTTTACTTTAATCAATTACACTGACTTATACACTAACTTCTAGGTTTTCTAATTCATTGGTCACTTGGGAAACCTGAAATTAATAAAATTAGATAATTAAAATCAAAGATACAAATACTACTACCTTAAGGTTGATCCAATGATCAAGCAGGTAAGTGAGAGTAGCTACTCTGTATGGTCTCTAATATTGTGTTTTGCAATCAGTCATAAAATAAATGTGTCATATAATGAGCAGTAATCATCAGTCTTTCTCAAGTGAGCATGACTGCAACTCTAAGTGCTAACCTCAGAGAAGTTTCTGAGCCTCATCTTAGAAACGATGGCGTGGTGAGGACAGGCTTTGTCAAATCTGAATCCAACTGCTGCCCATTGGAACTGCTCTGACATAGATTCTAGAACATCCCTTCACTCTGGTTATGGCTAAGGTACTTCCATAAGAATACTAAGAGTTAAGCCTCAGACTTCCTCCAAACCAAACGAAAAGAGAATAAAGGTGGGGGTTGGAACATGACACTGTGTGGTTCTAGATGATTAAATCTTCTCCACTGCACCATACTCCTAATGTGTTATGTTTATAAATGAGACAGAAATTAACTTCCAATGGAAGAGCAATAAAGGGGCGAGGCTGGACCAAAGAAGAGACTCTAGTGCAGAGACTGGCAAACTAGGACTGGTGGTCAGACCCAGCCCTCTGCCTGTTTCTGTTAATAAAATTTTACTGGAACATAGCCACGCCCATTCACTTAGGTGTTGTCTATGTGGCTTTTGTGATAATTACTGATTAGCATGAAATTATTTTATTGAATCACTCATAATTACTAAAAACCTAAAGTATTTCCTATCTGGCCCTTTACAGATACTATTTACATACTCCTGTCCTAGAGAATAAGAATGATACATAGCTTTCCACACACCCAAGCGGGGCAGGACATAACAAAGGATAAGTTAATTCAGTGACTGGATGACAATCTTGTGCCTTTGCACTTTCAAGAACAATTCCTATGTAACAGTTGCTAACCACTGCTTTGCATTATTCCTCAGGAGGAGATGAACGGTCCTTTTGTAAAGGGTGGGAAACCTCCAGTGAAGCCTGTCTGTCCTACCTTATCTTCTAGAGCAGCCATTCTCTCTTTCAGATGAAGCTGGAGCCTCTCATTAGATTCTGAAAGAAGCTTGTCAACAGTGTCTGATAAACGTTTATTATGCTCTTCATTCATTTTTTCTCTCTGCCTTGCCTAAAATAAGAGAAACAAAACTTATCAACTACATGTAAACACACAATCATTATTTTAAAAGCACCAGGGACTGACAGTGAGTCACAACTGTGCCATCACTCCCCAGGCTATGCCCCCACTATCATCTTTAGTGGACTTCTGCATGATGACCAGACCTGACTTGTGGACACAGAAAAACAGAGGGACAAGTCTCGGATAATTAGAAGGTCCTGCTGCTTCTGTTAAACAAAGCACTCATGGTGCCTCAGCAATGCCACCAGCCATTAACTGTCAGATGGACTTAGAGGCAGACTTATATGCAGGAGCCACCAGATATTTAGAGGATCGGCTTATCTACACGCTGGTTGAGGAACTTCCACTTGTATAAACAACAGCTAGGGTATGGATTTAGGGTCAAAATTAATTTATTTACAAAGCAAAAGGTAAAAATATTTGTTTAAAAAAAAATCAGTGGAGATACTTTCATGTATTTTTCTATATAACCCCCTACATTGCTTAAATTCCTCATAATGAAAATTTGTATTCAGAAGTTACAAGTAATTGCCTTAAGTAATTTTAAAATGTGATAACGAAGTTGACAAGTTTGTGTTTTATGAAGCCATAATCAATTTCATGGCTTAAAAGCTTTGTTTCCACCCCATATCCCAAATGAACACCAATGACAGGAGGAGGGGACAGAAGTGTTAACAGGCAGCACATATTGGGCCACACCTCTGTGCCTCATCACCCAAACACGTCAGTGATGCTCTGGGGGTTCCTCCCAGGCAAGTGCAGCGGGCACAGGGCCTAGGCTGGGCACGTGAGCCCTGCTGCCCAGGTAGGAGGACCTAAGCCATAAGGACTCGCCATGAGACTCGGCAACATATTCTACCCCAGTGCATTCACAGTTTCATCGGTAAGACATGGGTAGCACATCCCCCTTTTCTCATAAGGTTTGTTGTAAGGATTAAATATAAAGCACTCATAACATGCCTAGCATACAGCAACTATCATTATCTAAAAGAGGCCCAACACATCATGCAGGATACAGAGTACCTCTAGAAAACTGTGCTTATTTTCCATCAGCATTTGAATATTTTTAAGCAAAACAGCTTAAAGTTCACTTTTAATTGCCTTAGTTACAAACATCCAGTCACAACACTTGTCCTTCCTAACTCCATAAACAAGTTCTGACAGTAATGACGTACATCTCCACAACAGTAAAAGCGTGCAGCAGGGAGGTGGGACTGCCCAATTATACCATCTCCTAATGGGCTTGAAATCGTTATTTGCTGAAAGCTCGTCTGACTATAGGTTTCTGGTGAAAACAAAATCCAAGGGCCTTAAACGAGTTGGCAAATGGGGGTGGAGGGTTCTGCAATTAAAGGCTTCACGTTCCCTCCCTCCCCGACACATGAGGCCAGGTGCCAGCTGGACCTGGGCCTGCCTCTCGTTGTATCTGCTCCTGGATGTTCTGTGCTGACATTCACCCAACTTTTCCAGGGAAAATTCTCTTAGGATCCAGCTGACATAACCCTCTGCTGCCACTCTCCTAATGTCCTTTCTATCACAGCTCAGTTACAGTGTTCCTCTTGCTCAGAAAATATCCTAACACAGACCATTATATATGTTTGGAACAATAATTTGGTATTTGGGTGTACAGGTCAGGCCTCTGACCTGAATTTAGGGTTTCAGTGGCACATCCTAAGCAAGTGGACTAGTCATTCAGGATAACGGGCCTTATTCTAACGTTTCAGGGTGGGGGTGCGGTGTCCCCGGTTTTTTTTAGGGAGACCTATAAGGTCCCACTTATACCTAGAGCAGTTCCCCAATAGGCTATCAGATGAGCAAGAAGCCTTTTTGGACATGGGTATTCCATCTTCCCCCTGCAGTACTACCTATGGGCACAAATTTCTTCTGCTGCCACAAACACTGACACAAAACCACCAATGTGTGGGATGCACATATCAGCTAACGACTCGCATATGAGGTCACAAAATTAATGTATACGACAGGCATTGAGATGGAGGACCAAGGTTGGGGGGTGAGGCCACAGAGAGAGCCCTAGGAAAAGAGGCCCTGACCTCCCCCAGCCCGAGCCACGCCCTTGGGGCTCCCAGGCTGACTCAGCCCCTTGGGCTGAACACGCACCCGCTGCAGTTCTTGGTTCTTTTCCTCCAGCTGCGCCTCCATCTGTCGTAACCTTTCTTCAATGTTGCCGTGTCTCTCTTCAGCCTGTCGGCAAAAGCAACATCAGCCGGCCTCGTACTCACTTCATGAGTGACATGCTGCAGACTACTGCAGGAGCAGCAAGCATAACATGCTCCGCGTGGATCAGTTTCAACCATACTGAGTGGAAGGTGTTTTCTCACATCTATCAAGACATCCCGTGTGGCTTCATGTGCTAAATCATGGAGCAACTACCCTCTCATGTGGGTGATGCTCAAGCGTGGCTGGTGCTGGTGACTGGCTCTGTGTCCCCATCCCCATGCCCAAGCCCAGTGGATGTGTGACTCTGCCCATCTTCAGGCTGCTTCTGGTTAGTCAGCGCAGAAAGCAGAAAGCGGCAAGCACAAGTAAGGAGCAATGGACAAAGTCTACCTTCCTAAGCCTGGAAGTAAGTTCCAACAGCTTAGCTTCCTTAGCAGCAGAGCTCCCAGAAGACAAAAGATCAGACTACAAAGCCGACAAGGGACAGGAAAGATAACAGGGAGAGAAGAAACCGAGACTTAAAAAGCAGATCACAGAAGGGAAGAAAGGTTCTGTTAAAGCTGTTAGCAACAAACTGGCTCGAAGGCACAGGTGAGCATTGGACCCAATGCCACCCTTCACCCGCAGGGCACTGTGTCCCTTCCCAGCTATGCTTGAGCAAGGAGACGCAGGACTACTGATGGGTGCTGACCCAGGACTCTGCTCTTGCAGCTCTCTCCGCCTGGCTGATGCTTACTGGCCCTGTAGCGCTAAGCCTCTCCCACGCCCAGGAAGGCTGGCTGGTTCCAGGGCCTCCCACATGCCCAATTTGAGTACCTACTTTGTAATCTTGAAATTGCCCCTCTACCTGCTTGCTTCCCCTGTGGATGGTGAGAACTTTGAGGGTAGGACTGTGCCTTGCACGTGCCTAGCCAACAGTTGTTGAACAAATGAATGAGTATTATTTAAAATTTTGTCTTTAGAAGTGAATAGCATTTTCCTTTTTCTGAGAAAAACTATCCTTCTTTTTCACAAAACTTCTATCCCATGTTTTGAGTTGGTGGATAAAACAGAAACAGTTAACTCTTAGACATGCATACTGGGGACAAGCTGCATATACCTGACAGATAAAAAGGGAGGATGACATTTAAAAAGTGTCCCAATTGCAGACAAACTAGCACTAAAAACAAATCTGAGCGACTGCACGGATTTAGGCACAGTGACTAGGAACAAGGATAAACAAGGTAGGTGAACAATGCATAATCACAACCATCAATCCAGAAGCCTGCCCAAGCCCCACCTTCGAGAGCGCTGCCACCCTCTGGGCCAGCTCCGCCTCCACCTCCGGGAGTGTCTCGGCTTTCCTCATGGTCTGCTGCAGCTTTTGCTCCGCTAATTCCAGCCGTTCCTGTAACTGGCGGTTTTTATCCTCAGTCTGTGAAATGAGAGAAAGCATCAACATGTAGCAACCTTCTGGCTGTTTCCTTTTTCAATAGGTTGAAGCAAACTGAAAGGCAGACATGAACTAAGTCTGTTATGACGGAAGCCCCTCGGCTCTGGTAGCTGCAAACAGCACACACCCACCTTCCTGGGTTTGATTTCCATGTGCAAACACCTCTTGCCAAAGTACTTTTTCCTAAACAGCTTCAAAACAGTTTTTTTTTCTTTTAACAAATAAATGTTCGTGTACCCTAAGTAAAATAGCTTTCTACAGAAGCTTCTCACTCTAATTGACAAGCTAAGAAGAATGTGGTACTATCCCTTGTTAAAAAGCAATCCGACCCGTACTAGAAGGCAGCACTCTGGACAGCCCACTGACGCGACAAAACGCAGCTCTCATCTCCTGTTCCATACAGATCTTCCAAGAGTGCACCAACAGAACATTGCTTCAGATATCTTTTAAATGTATTTAAAAGATATTCTTTTTAAAAACCCTCTTGCTCTAAAATAATTTTCACGTTGAAGATTTAACAAAAGATTTTTTAAAGAAATCTAAAAATCATCAATAAGTTCAGGTTCCTGAGAGGTTTAACATTTGTTTATATGTAGCTTTCCTCTTCTTTCTGTATGCATTTATCTCTCTATGTGCATATATACAATACATCATGCTTTAAAACCCTCAAAAAATACATCATACTGTAGTACTATTTTGAAATTTGCCTTTCAAAGTCATCATTATTGTGAACATCTTACATATCATTAAATATTCTGCAATATCACTTTTAATGGCAGTCTGATATTTTCTTATTTTTATTTCTGGATAAATACACTTTGTAAAATACCAAATACTTTAGTTTCAAGAAGTCTGATTTAAGTTTTTCGGGTTAATTCTTGATTACCTAAGACCACACAGAAACAGGAGTAAGTATGGCTTACCAAACCACAGGAAATACATAGGTCTTACTACAGACTTCATGTCTAAATTTGCCATTTATCACATCGCGCCCAGTTACTAACTAGCAGCCAACTGCCTTAAGTTCTTTGCCACTCTCTGCTCCTGCTCCTTTGGTAAAAATGCTAACAAGCAACAGATTAACTTTCAATTAAAACAAAAGAAAGAATCAAAGAGAGTAGCTCCATAAAATGGCTAAATCAAATCCTAAATCATCAAAACTTGTAAGTGGAAGTTGCCCACACTTCTTGAACATAAGTATTTTAAGATGCTAAAAACTTTATATTTAGACCCGATTGCCAACATGAAAGGTATAGAAAAAAGGCTTTTAACTCCATTAACAATTAATGCAAGCCAGACAAAAGTCCATAAACTCCATCACCTGTCGATGCATAGAATCTTTGTTTGCAATTTCATTTTCAAGTTTATCATTGAGGTCATGCACAGACGTGGCTTCACGCTGTGCAGCGAGGTAGCGTTTTTCAAGAGTAGTGATTCTCTCTTCCATGTCTTCTTTTTGGGCCATGGCCTAAATTAGGTATTTCAGAGGGAAAAAAAGGTAGGTAATTAATATATAACACACTAATATACTTAATTAAGAGAGAAAAAACTGGACTAAATCCTAAATTTCATATCAAATATAGTCATGCACCACGTAATGACCATTCAACCAACGATAAGCCACGTATAAAATGGTGGTCAGAGCAACAGGCTACACCACCTAGCTTAGCTGTGTAGTAGGCTATGCCATCCAGTTATGTGTAAGTGCACTCTATGAGGGTCACACAACGACGAAATCGACTAAGGAGGAATTTCTCAGAACTTTTCCTTGTCCCTCAGTGATGCATGACTGTATAAAATTAGTATCCTCAAAATCAAATTGATATAGATGCCAATTTTCTCAAATGTGAATAAAAATGTACCTACCTCAAATACCACAAATATTCACCTATGTGATTAGCAAAGACCAATCTACCTTAACACTTTATCTGGCCACTCAGTTTACCAAAGTTTATTCTTTCCTACATAATATTACAAAAAAAAGGAATAATAAAATATCCCAATACTCCAAGAATCCAAGCAGGTAAAAGTATCCATAGATGCAGCCTATGTCTGCCTGGTGCTATAAACGGGCTGATACAAGACAGGGTGTGGCCTCTGAGTGAATACAGTAGTGAGAGTCAAATTTCATTTTCTTGGATGAAATCTCATACAACTACAAATTTCAAGCATATTATCAAATGGGAACGGAAGTCAAAGTTTAACTTAATTGGGCACAACCCAAGGAGGAGCTGGCTAGTAGTGACCTTGGAGACACAGCCAGCAGCATGAGTACCCCAAGAGGAAGAAACCTTCACCCAAGGAGGAAACAGTTAGTTACCCCAAAGAGGCAGGCGACAGGAGTGTCCCCAGGAAAAAGAGGAAATTCTCTTCCAGGAAGGAGCCGGTCAGCAGTGGGCCTGAAGACACTGCTGTCAGCAACAACAGCTCTAAGAAAAGAAAAAGCTCCAAAAACCACCCCAGGAAGATTAACGGACATCACCTGGGGGAGGGCATACCCCACTTACATTCCCCAACCCATGCCACGTCCTGTACCCCAGTAAAAACAAATTCACACACACAAAAATAAAATAATTGGGCACAACCACCTAAAGTCCGTAGCAAAATTAACACTACACGGCATCAAACGCGAGCGAGGAGCTGAACGGTTTGTTTGTGCAATGCCTGTCCTCCACTCCAAAACTCACTGCCTTTAAGTCCTTTCCTGCTTATTATGTGACTAATGTTAGCAAAGTCTTAATATCAAAAGTGACGGGTCTTAAAAGAAGAATTTCAAAATTCTCTGCATATTAAACTCTGCCACAGGAATAATGTGCTGTAGACAAAGAATATAACCTAGTAAGTTATATAATATATGAAAGTATTTTTCTTTGTTTTGAATTCTTACATAACATACTAAGCTACCAAACTGAAAGTAAACCTGTTCTACATATGTGTTAAATGGTCAAGAGGATCTCATGGGGTACAAAGAACAAGTTAAAAAGTGACAGGAGGAGGTGCCAGAAAAAGCACCTGGCCCTCACTTGCTTTTATAACAATGATTAAATAGATTCTTATACTTACAAAGGCAGAAATTTTCTAAGAAATGAGTGTTTTTTGACATTTTTACACCATGACCTAAGTGTGAGCAAATTCCACATGTATTGTTTGTCTGACCCATGGTTTGTCAAAACCATATATTCTGTGAAGGAGTAGAATGTCATAAAACTAGAAAACCGCCAGTAACACTCTCTTCACAAAGTCAACAGACTGCTCTCACATCACTGTAAGTGAACCAGCAGCACAAGCAACATCAACATTTACTGGCTAAGAGCGTATTAGGAGGCAATCTGAACATGACATATCCACAGACGAGTGCAATTACGTGACCTTGAAGCAGCCTGGTGGAAAGCACCTATGTCATGCCCACTCCACAGCCACAGTGCATCAGTGAGGCTAGCCTCCTCTACCTTTGAAGACCATGGGGAAAGGAGATTTTACGATGGAAATGGGGACACAGCCTATCACAGTCTCATAGCACTGCTTGGTTTCACTATTGTTTATACGATGATCCAGAGGTTGAAAGTAATTGGGAGAGCAAGGCACAAAAGGAATCAAGAAAAGCAACCCACCACAACACCCCAGATGCTCAGCTCAGTGACAGGTTCTATTATCACTCACTTCGCGGATGTCCCGTTGCAGTTTCGTGTTCATCTCCTCAGATTTGATCAAGTCTTTCCTGGCCGTGTCGAGATCTTCCTCCAGCTCTGCCACGTGGCTGGAGAGGGCGGCCAGGCGCTCTTTCATTTGGCTCTGTTCCCTCAATTGCTTGTCTATGACTTCCTGGAGCTCTATTACTTTAGCAAGGTCCTCCTCGTGGCTTAACGAACCATCAGAAGATCTCTGAAGGAAAAAAAATAAAAGACATACATATATCCTTAAATGGCCTTGTTTGGTGAGTTATGAAATATAAAATACTTCCAGGAAATAGGCAAACTCAAAACTGATTTATGCAATCTGCTGGATTACACAACTCTCATGACCACTTGCACCTTAAGCCAGAGCTTTAGTGGCAGCTCTCCAAGCAGCCCTACAAAGACACTGCGGACAGACGAAGTCAGAAAGAGAATGAAGAAAAGCCCAAGGACTTGCCTTTCCATTCGTGCTCGGGGTATTTTCTTGTTCATGGTTCATGTCAAGCGCTCCATCTGTTAGTGTTTTTTTCTGATTATTCTGTTCTTTAAGAATCATTAGCTAAAACCAAAAAATTGAATATGAGATTAAAATACCTTGCATAAGAGACATAAATAAAGATAGCAAAACTCCTTTTGGAAAAACTCAACTATAAACTGCTAACTATAGTATAAAAAGAAAGCATATGGTAACGCTATCCATCCTGAATATCAGCAGATTATTAAAAATGGAATTTATTACCTAATGGAAAAATGGATAATAAGAAATAAAAGTCTACTTTATAAGTCCTTAACATGACCTGGATAGGTTGCTCCTCAATTAGAAAGATAAATAACATCTGACAGCCCCTACTACAGTCCTCACACTTTAAAAAACTAAGGGATAAAAATTTTAAAAGCCCCAATTCAAAGCATATGACGATGTCTCAAGCTTACCTCTTTGTGTGTGGCACCTAATTCTTCTTCTAACAAACTACACCTTTCAAGTGCTACTCGTAATCTCTCTCTCACCTGAAAATAAAAGGGGTTGAGCTTGTGTGTATGTGCACATGTATATATTTTATTCTTAACATGTAGTTATCCTGATATAACATTAGTATATGATGGAATACCTTTAACGTCTTTCATTGTTATTACTGTTACCGAAACTTCCTTGTCAATGGCTTTAAATTTTGAGAATAATCTTCCCCCTAAATTACATTACCCAATTCTTAACAGCAAACTGACACACAGAATTAATCAATTTTAAGACATTTGTGCCAACTAGTACTTTTTAACTATATAGAACCCCATCTTCTTACAGAAAAAAATTGTTTACAATAACTCGAGAAGCTACAAAAGTTAAAGTTACACAAACACACAGGAAGCTTGCCTAATTTGCAATATGTGCAAAGATAAGGAGCTGTCATATGGCTGATGGTACCTTTTCATCCAAAGCTTTGTGGTGCTCAAACAACGACTTCAGTGCTTTGAGCACTTCGACTTCACTGGACACACCTGCTGGGGACTGTGCGTGTCTCTTCACCACGGTCATCCTGAGAGACCTCTCGTGCCTAGAGACAAGGCATTCCAAATGTTCTAAAAGCAGCTGGAATAAAAGGCCAAAATAAAAACATGTTTAAAGAGCACTTCTAATGCTAAAACAATCTTGAATCCCTTTAATTCAGTAGAAAGTTAGAGACATTCCCCTCAAAAGTATTAAAATACCATTAACTCTCATCACAAATTTCAAGCAATGCATGATAATGCTGAGCTAATCAATCACAGTCTGCTCAGTAGGAAAAAGCATGAAAATGCTTAAAACCAGAGAGAGCAGATCATCTTTTTGTTCCAAAATAGCATCACCGATCCCAGTACTTACTCCAGAGGCCAATGGTAACACAGTAAGATTCACCTACTAACCCTGGTGTTGTTCCTTTCTGCTTTCAGTTCAGCAATTTCTTCTTCCCTTTCAAGAAGCTGTTCCCTGCATATATTCAGTTCCTTTGTAAGTGCAGCAAACTCCTAGAAAATAGCAAAATCAACAGATATATAGAAAGAGATCCTCTAAAGAAAGACTTCCACCAACCCTCTGCAGTCCCCACACAACAGCAACCCTGTCACAGCATATAAGGGAAGAGATCTCTGTGATCCTCAGAAAAAGAGGGATCAACCAGCTGGCCTAAGAACACACAGATTACCAAACAAATCAGACTCTAACTCAGACTCTCTGACTTCCCTCCACCCCTGGGCCCTGGCACATGCATAAAGGGGAATCTAAGCCCACCTTCTCAACATCCAGAGAAGTCCAAGATATTTTGCTGGACAGGGATCCTGACATGAAGTGGAAGACAACATTTTTTAAGTGAATTGCAGACACATGACCTAGAATCACTGGGGAGAGCAAAGGAGAGAAGGCCTGGAAGGCCATCACATGTCGTAGCCTCTTTTTCTATCTACATTGATTCTCCTCTGGGGAAGAGCATGGGGCTTTTGAGAGTCTCCTGGACTGATGGCACCCCAAGGCCAATCTCTTTGCCTGAATAATTTGCTCCAAGTCAACTATAAAAAATGGACTTTTCGCAGTGCTGTAAGCCCTTTGTAGAGGGGGCCAGTCTAAGATGAAGTCTGTCTCTGGCCAAGTGGAAGAGTTTCTAGAGGATTTAACTGGGAAGAGCTGTGCCCAGAGCTCCCCTTCACTCTGCTCTGGACTCCTTCTCTAACTGCCACATTAAGCTGAATTCACACATGGACACCACATATGAGCTGAGTCAAAAAAATGAGTTCAGGGGCCGGCCCGGTGGTGCACTGCTACAGTGCGCCGCTTGGGAAGCGTGGCGGCGCTCCCGCCGAGGGTTCGGATCCCACATACAGACCGGCTGCTCACTGGCTGAGCGAGGAGTGGGGGCAACACCGAGGGTTGCGATCCCGTTGCCGGTCACGAAAAAAGACAAAAAGAAAAAAAAAATGAGTTCAGTCTCCCATCAGTTTTTCACTGGAGCAAAACTCCTCTGAAATAAGTAAAATCATCTGCCAACATTTCTCTCTGTTTTAAGCATTTTCTCTTTAAAGGACAAAGAAGGGATAAAGATTCACCTGATAAATAATCAAACAGACAAGGAGTCAAGAGTACATATTGGGAAAAGGACAGCCTCTTTAATAAACGGTGCTTGAAAAACTGGATATCAACATGCAGAACAATGAAACTAGATCCCTACTTATCATATATAAAAATCAATTCAAAATGGATTACTAATGTTTTAAATGTAAAACCTGAAACTATAAAACTACTAGAAGAAAACAAAGGAGAAATGATCCACAATATGGGGCTGCGCAAAGAATTTTGTTTGCTTGTTTTGGGTGGCTGGCTGGTACAGGTGTCAAACCCTGGACCTCAGTGTTATCAGCACCATGCTCTAACCAAATGAGCTAACTGGCCAGCCTTCAGGAATTTTTAAATAAGACTTCAAAAGCACAAGCAATGAAAGCAAAAACAGACAAGTGGGATTACATCAAACTAGAAAGCTTTTGCACACCAAAGGAAACTTAACAGAATGAAGGGACAACCTACAGAACGGGAGGAAATATTTGCAAACTATACACCTGACAAGGGGTTAATATCAAGAATACATAAGGAACTTAAACAACTCAACAACAAAAATACAAACCACCAACTGAGAAATGGGCAAAGGCTTAAGAGACATTTCTCAAAACCCAAAAAGACATACAAATGGCCAACAGGCACATGAAAAAAATGCTCAACATCACTAATCATTAGAGAAATGCAAATCAAAACAATGCCATACCACCTCACTCCAGTTAGAATGGCTGTTATCAAAAAGACAAAAGGCAACAAGTGTTGGTGAGGACTGGAGAAAGGGAACCCTTGCACACTGTTGGTGGGAGTGTAAACTAGCACAGCCACTATGGAAAACAGTATGGAGGGTCCTCAAAAAATTAAAAATAGAACTACCATTTGATCCAGCAATCCCACAGCTGGGTATATACCCAAAGGAAAAGAAGTCAGTATGTCAAAGAGATATCTGCGCTCCTTAGTTTATTACAGTACTATTTACAATAGCCGACATGTGGAACCAACCTAATTGTCCCATGACAGGTGAATGGATTTTAAAAAAAAATGTCTATATACACAATGAAATACCATCCAGTCACAAAAAAGAATGAAATCCTGTCATTTGTAGCGACATGGATCGACTTGAAGGACATTATGTTAAGTGAAATAAGCCACGCACAGAAAGACAAATACCACACGATCTCACTCATGTGTGGAATCTAGAAAAAAAAAGTTGATATTATAGAGGCAGAGAGTACAGCAGTGGTTACCAGAGACTGGGGAGGGCAGGGAGGGAAAACAGGAGAAGCTGGCCAATGGGCACAAAGTTCAGTTAGACAGGAGGAGTGAGTTCTGGTGTGCCACTGAACAGTAGGGGGACCATGGTGAACAGTTTTTGTATATCACATAAAAGCTGAGGGAGAGGCTTCTGAATGTTTTTGCCACAAAGAAATAGCAAAGGCATGAAGTGGATAATACACTAACTACCCTAACCAGGTTATTATACAACATACGTATGTATCAAAACATCAGTATGTACCTACCCCATAAGTACATATAATTACAATGTGTCAATTAAAAATTAAAAAAAAAAAAAATCAGACACTCGAAAAAGTTGTTGACTTAGGTAATTCTAGAAAATCAGTTTACAAACAGGAGGTGTGCTTAAAGGGCATCATAAATTTATCCTTTGCAACTCAAATTCGACTTTACCACAGAAATAACACCACCTATCAGAGCTTTATTTTACAAGGCTAGCCCACAAAAGCCTATGGGAGCCATAATGCAGAACCAAAAGACTTATCTGTGAGGGAGGAAAAGAAGCAAGCCATGCTGTCACAGTCAACAATGGAAAAGAATAAATTAAATAATTTATTTTTTCTTAAATGCTGTTTTTTCAGGGGGAGCAAAGTGGAGGGGGTGGGGAAGCAGGTAATTTACAGAGATCTTGGACACTTGTGAGCATTTTCATGGACACGGTAGGCTAATGGTCATTTGAATTTACTGTATTTCTCTTCCAAACCAATGATTTCTTCTGCAAGAATCCACATTTGTGGGTGATCAACTTCTAGCATGGCAGCATGAGGAGCTCTGCTGATCTATTCCCCAGCTGTTATAAAAAACAGCAATTCATGGGCCGAGCCCGTGGCGCACCCGGGAGAGTGCGGTGCTGGGAGCACAGCAGCGCTCCCGCCGTGGGTTCGGATCCTATATAGGGATGGCCGGTGCGCTCACTGGCTGAGCGTGGTGCAGCCGGTCACAAAAAGGACAAACAAACAAACAAAAAACAGCAATTCATAACCTCTGGAAATGGTTCTAAAGGCAAACAGAAAATGAAGACACAGCTCTTCAAAAGATTCAATGAAGATTCAGTATGAAAGGCAAGAATTTGTGGGATCTGATCCAAGACTGCCTCCCCCTCCCAGCTCAGCAAGGAAGAAACTCCCCTCCAGATTGCTGCAGCTGACAGCGCAGGGTCCCCTCATCCCCCAAATTGATCCCACGGAGCCCTGCTCCCCCAGACTGATCCTACGGAGCCCTGCTCCCCAGACCAACCCCACGGGGGCCCCGCTCCCCAGCTCCAGCCAGGCTAGCCAGGAGGATCAGGACACCGGTGCTTCTCTTTGGGCTCCAGCTGCCTGATGCTGATGCTACATGCGGGTGAGTGTAGGTGAGAGGTGGGTGCTCCCTACTTCTGCAAAACCCTCTGTGTGGAATGGAGAGAAGCAGGAGAGGGAGCTGTGATGAGAATGACGGACCCTGGGATTTCAGACAGGCAAGGAAGAAAGGGCAGACACGAGACGGCGAAGCACCATCACAAGGGGGTAGGATCCCAGGACTGTAAGTCCTAGGTTGGTGGAATATCAGTGTTTTATTTTTAAAAGTCTACTTATCTATTATGAATAAACTTCACTGCCTTTAAATGAAATACCTAGTCAAACCACAACAAGGAGGACTTGGAAATTGGGGAAGATTGCTTCCAAACTCGGATTATGCACCAGTTACACAGACTCATCTAACTTGGAAACAGAAAGGATCACCATCTGGCCCCACCCTAATGCACACCCAAACCCCTTGCTTGTTTTACATTCCTGCCATCCTGCTTTTCCTTTAACTCTTTCATCAACAGAAAGAAGCAAGCCTTTATCTGCTTCATACAGCTTCCTTAAGATTTTCCTAAGGTCCCCAAACCGTCTTTATTGACCTACCGATTTTACATTTACCATCTAAAACCAGAGAGAATATATTTATTTATTTATTTATTTATTTATTTTTTTTTAAAAGATGACCGGTAAGGGGATCTTAACCCTTGATTTGGTGTTGTCAGCACCACGCTCAGCCAGTGAGCGAACCGGCCATCCCCATATGGGATCCGAACCCGGGGCCTTGGTGTTATCAGCACCGCACTCTCCCGAGTGAGCCACTGGGCCGGCCCAGAGAGAATATATTTAATTCATATTCTTTAAGTTAAATGTAAGCGTTTCTAACAAATTCAACAGCCAAGCCATTCTACGGTATACTGCTCTGGCTATGGTAAAAACAAATTCACAGAACTTGGCAATTATTTTATTCAGATAAAAACATTTCTCTTTGCTCAAAAGAATTCAACAACTAAAAATGTATCAAAGCAAATTTAAATTTAGAAGTTTGGATAAATATTAGACAGGAAATTCCGAAGTTTAAGATTCCAAAAGCATCTTCTTATGTGCACTGTTTTTGTATTATTATTGCAGGAAAAAAACTAGTGCAAACTCCAAATATGTGCAATAAATGATCTGCTTTATTACTGTCACAGGAATCTCATTATCAGTATACTTAGAAAAAAAAAGTTTAATTAAAAAAAACCTGCAAGCCAAATACACTACTAGTTTAAGGTGACATCCTATTTACTGATATTTACTACAATTAAAGTTTCAAATATTTTCTGACACAATAGATATAATAATTACTA